GCCTGTCTAATTGTGTTCCTGAGGAAGAAAAGAAATAAATATTACTATTACAAGAAAGCCTACAGTCTCTTATATATGGGCCTAACCAGGATAACCAAACTAGCAACACGGAGACCAGCTGGCCGGTGTGCATGTGGTTCACTAGACTAGCCATGCCCAGTTTCTACAACCGTTATCGTATATTTTAGCCTCCAGTCCCCTAATCATTTTTTTTGTCTTTCTAGAGTCTCAACATCTTTTTTATAGTGTGGTGACCAAAACTGCACGCAGTATTCTAGGTGTGGTCTTACTAAGGCTTTATAGAGTGGTATTAGTACCTCACTTGATCTTGATTGTATCCCTCTGTTAATGCAGTTTAGGATTGCATTGGCTTTTTTGGCTGCCACCGCACACTGCTGGCTCATATTTAATTGATTGTCCACTAGGATTGTCCAAGATCCCTCTCACAGTTACTGCTATTAAGTCAGTTTTCACCTCATTTATACAGGTATTTTTGGTTTTTCTTGCCTAACTGTAAGGCTTTACTTTTCTCTACGTTGAATTTCATTTTGTTAGATAGGGCCCAGTGTTCAGGTCTGCCAAGATCCACCTGGCTCTTGAGTCTATCATCTAGGGTGTTAGCTATTCCTGCCACTTTAGTATCATCTGCAAATTTGATGGGTTCCCCTTCTGGACAACAGATGGGTGATAATTGGGACAGATCACCTTTGAATCTGAGTCTCCCAACTGGAGCAGAACAGGATTGCTGCATGGTCTGATTTCTATCCCCAAGGACATCATGGTGGGTGCTGCCTCCAGGACTGGGTCTAGGAGAATCAACCTAGTTATACTCTCTCATTGGTCATCTGGCACAAAGTGATCCCAGCAATGCTGTTTCCAGAATAAAGACCAGAAACCCAACTGGGTGGATTTAAATGATCCATTTCATCTCAGAGAGAGACTGAATTTGCCAGGACCAGTCCAGGGGAGGAAGAAAACAACCCATTGCATTTATTGGAGAATAAAGTACTGAAGTTCTCTTAAACTCCAGGGAGCTTAAGCCAAATGTCGGGTGAAAACCAAATGTTGGATGTTCCCCCCACATGTGTTGGACTGATGACACTGGGGGAGCATAATCCTTGGTGGTTATGAAGACACCCCCAAACCACACTCAAGTGCCAGACACTGTCTTTGCCCTGCCTGAAAGGCTCTTGCTCAGCAGCACATTGGTGCCATCGCCAGAGACAGCAAATGAGCACCCAGTTCAAGGTCCAGAGAGCAAAGTCCCTCTTCCCAGAGGTGGCAGTTCCATAGAGGACTGGAATCCTTTCCCCAAAGATAGAGAAAGTCATGCACAGTTGAGGCTCTGGACAAATAATCTGTAGCAGAGCACAAAGAGCCTTGGTAGTACAGTGGTCTAAGGCACCTTGTTATTAAGACCAGCTGCCTGCAATTACTGCAGGTTCAAATCTCGCCAAGGCTCAAGGTTGACTCAGCCTTCCATCCTTTCTAAGGTAGGTAAATTGAGGACCCAGTTGTGGGGGCAATAAGTTGACTTTGTATAAATATACAAAAGTATGAAGGCTATTGCTTAACGCATTGTAAGCCGCCCTGAGTCTCCGGAGAAGGGCGGCATATAAATCAAATAAAAAAAAAAAAAAAGTAAGTGTTGCACCCACCAGCTGCATTCCCTCAGAAGACTGACCATGCAGGCTGGGCTCACACAATCCGTGTTTCCACCCAAAAACCAATCAAAATTAAAACTAGACCAAAGTAGGACTAGGGGTTCAGCTGAGGAATTAGCTATCTGTTCTAACGCTGGCTTAACCGAGTCCAGCTGATTAACGGTGTCAAGTGCTAGTTAGTGCAGGGGACAAAGCAAGTTAGCAGCTCAGCCAGTGGGTTGGAGGACGATGGCAGAGAGGCTTAACTGAGAATTCTTCCTGCTGCTGAAACAGAGATGCGGCTGCCTTCTTTGGACTTCCCTGAGATCGGGAGGCTCTCCTGAGAATGAGGCAGCATTAATTGGCCTGTTGTGAGTCATCTCAGGCAGAGCAACATTGAAAAGCAGCAGACAAGACAAGGCCCATCTAGTACCAAGGCTGTGTTGCGTTCCTCTCTCGTAGCCCATCTTTTTGTAAGAAAATCTCTATAAGCTCTGAAGCCCCATATGCTCTCGTCCTTCGCACCATGGTGCACAGCGGATGCAGAATCCTCAGGATGGGGGTGGGGGTGAGGGAGGAGCAGGTGTTTTCCCAGCTGCTGCCTCTTCTGTGTTCTCCAGCAGCCCCCATGCTTTCTATTTTCAATTTCCACTCCACTTTGCATCCATGGATTAACCAGAGTAAAAGGCCAATTTTTTCTTTCTTTCTAAAAGTTACTTTTCACTTCTTCATTGCTAAAAAGAACCTGTAAGAGAATCCACACATCTAGGAAACTGTACATTTTGGGAATATCAGACCGTTCTATCAGTTTCACGTGATGGTGGCGAGGTGTCCAATTTTAATTCGGTTCCTTTTTCAACTCCCAACAGGGCACAGTGAGTAAGTGCACGGCAGAATCAAAAAGAGGATGTTAAGCAGTCCAAGAGCAACCAACACCATGTTTAGCACAGCGAAAATTAGCAAGTAGAAGAGTTGTAGTTATTTGCAAGGTGGTTCAGTTGGGCTCCAGAAGGTGGGCAGCTGAGAAGCGCAGGGCCAGCCTTCCTCTCCTTTGCCCGGGATTGCCCGGGGATGTTGATCTTGCTGCTTCTTTTGCACACGAGGTGGTTTGTATACTGGAAACTTGCTGATTGAGAAAGAGGTTGTTATGACAAATTGACTTTTGTTGTGAAAAATTGGCCCTTTGTTGTTGCGCTCTTGCTTGACGACGGTCAGAGTCAGCTTTCTTGTTGACATTTCATGTCATTCTTGCTTGGCTTTGCTGATGTGTCTCTTGGCCAGTTATCCTGCCTGTTGACCAGCTGAATTCTTGCCCACATCTGTTCTTTTGGGTGCTGACTGCGCTTAGCCCAGCCTTGTTTCAGGGAAATAGTTCCATGGAAATTGTTACAGTACCCTAAATTATTACTTACAATATAAATAAAGCAATGTACGCAGCCAGACATTGACATGTTTGTATATATATTGTTTAACCTCCCTGGCTCTTTCTTTAATACTAAGAACTGAGTATTCTTTAATACTCCGGCCATGTCAGTAAGCGCAGGCTGCTGTCTAGATTGATTGATTGATTGATTGATTGGTTGATTGATTATATTTCTATACCGCCTTTCTCCCGTAGGACTCAAGGCGGTGTACAGTCAAGAAAAATATAGACACACAAACATCATAAAATTGCTAATTAAAATTATTACTTAGTTTGGTCAATTAAATAAAACCCAGAATTAGATCACATTTAAAAAATCATTCGCATGTTTGTATGTTTAGCCCTGCCTGTTGGAACATCAGGGTCTTGAGGGCACGGTGGAAAGCACGGAGATCAAGGATATTCCGTATCTCCGGGGGCAGTTCATTCCAAAGGGTTGGAGCCCCCACAGAGAAGGCCCTCCCCCTGGGAGTCGCCAGTCGGCATAATTTGACTGACGGTACCCTGAGTAGTCCCTCCCTGTGAGAACGAACTGGTCGGTGGGAGGCTATTGGTGGCAAAAGATGGTCTCGTAGGTACCCAGATTTGATGTTCATACAGGAGATTTTCCCAGAAAGAGGCTAGAATCAAATAAGAAGAAAGATACATAAAACATTGAACTTGTTCTGGGTTCTGACTCAGCACTGTATGTATTTATACTGAGAAGAAAAGTGAGAATAATAATAATAGTGATAGATATCTTTAACACCACCAAACAACAGCATCCGGCTATCCTAGGTCCTTGGGAAGGACTCGATACCTGGATGAAAATGCCAAGTCCAGGCTAAACATCTGGTGGTCTGTGTGGCCAGTCATAACAGCTACTGAAAACCAAAAAATGTGGCTAAGGTTGGATGCTGGTCTGGGCTGCAAAATGAAAGGTGGGTAGTCTTGACTCCCAGAAGCCATTTGGATTTTATCCACAAGGGCTTCCTCTTCTTGACTGGTCACTACTATTTCTACCCTCAATTTTTTGGGGGTGGGGGATGGTTTGCCTGAGAGTCTCCCCTTAACTTTGGCATCTGAGACTGAGAGCTCTTACAGTTTATATCCTTCCTTGTAACCAAGAACGAGAGAATTTTCCTTGACCCACACATTTTCTTAACAGGCAGAAGCTTTCGTGAACCACAAGTCACATTGTAAGTTGCATGGAGTGGCTCAACCAGGGATGAAATGCTCCCGGTTCGGACCGGATCGCCCGATCCGGTAGAGATGGCAGCAGGTGGTTCGGAGAACCGGTAGCAAAAATCCCTGCGCGCCCCCTCCCCCACCATCCCCAGCTGAGCCACACGATCATCAGAGGCTGTTTTTTTTTAACTTTTAAAAGCATTTTTTCTACAACCTCTTCCGAAGAAAAAATGCTTTTAAAAGTAAAAAAAAAGCCTCTGATGATCGCGCGGCTCAGCTGGGATTGCCAGAGGCTTTTCAAAGCATTTTTTTCTGCAACCTCTTGGCCGAAGAGGTGGTAAAAAAAATGCCTTGAAAAGTCTCTGGCAACTCCCAGCTGAGTTGCCTGAGGTATTTTTTAAAAGTAAAAGTAAAAAGTAAAAGAAGTAAAGTTAAAAAAAAAAAAGGTCGGCCACGCCCATCCAGTCACATTAACTCCCCCACCACCACCAAGCCACGCCCACAGAACCGGTAGTGATGAAAAATTTAAATCGGGGTGAGCCAGAGCAGAGGAAGACAGGGGCTTATGCAGATTACATGTGAGACAGATTAAAAGCACCCTATTAATTCACCATAATAATAATCTCTCATAAAATTCCACCAGGACGTCAACAAATTCTATCCCTCTGTCAACTTTAGTCTCAGCCTAGTTAGTTGAGACCAAAGTTGGTCTCAGCTAACTACACACCGATAGATAAACCTCATGTTATATGACCGCTCAGCCTTACCTGCGTCAGCTTCTACTCAGATGCTCCGACCAAATCCATCATCCAGGCCTCCAACCACATTTGTTCTGACTCTCTTGACAGGGATGCTCAACTGATGGAATTAAACTAGGCATTCAGGACACTGAACTCTCCACCCAACAAGATCAATAGACAAATCAATAGAGCCAGATTGATTCCCAGAGAGGACTTATTAAAAGACAGACCATAAAAACAGAACAGAACAGCACTGGTTGTCACCTACAACTCATCGCTCAAGTTACTCAAATATATTAATAAGTCACGATCTATACCGGACTGCACCTTCTCAGGCGCAGGTGACAGGCCCCACCTGCAGAGAGGCCACCACCCAACCTGAAGCAGATTCTCACAGGAAGAAGAAACAGTGGGACAATACTGGCAATCTAGGAAGCAGCCCTGCAACAAACCCAAATCTCTACTCAGCCCCCACATTTATCTCCACAGCACCCTCACAGGCTGGAACAATTTCTTACCCAAGTTGAGAGCACTTAGTGCTAAGGTGGCAGATGCCACCATCTTCTCCCAGGGCGCAGTGGTTTCTACTTGGTCAAAGAGCCAGCCTTGTGCCAGAAACATCCCTGGCACAGTTGAGCCAGAAGTGGGCAGATTCACATACATCAAAAGGTCTCAGATGCTTTGCCAGAATGGTAGCTACAGCCCACTTTCCCTTAAGCTCTCAGAGCAGAGATGCAGGGGTTGTACTATGTTTCTCTCTCACACACACAGCCTTTGCACCCAGTTCATGTGATTTCTTAGAGGAGGAGGAAATGTTGGCATCGCTTCATCTCCTTGAGGTTTTTTCTTTTTCCCCAGGACACTAAATCGTCAACTAACCCCATCCTGTCCTGTGCAGGTGCCTGAGTGTTTCTTTGTGCGAGTGATTGATGTGCGTAGGAGAGAATTGCTGACATATGCAAAAGGAATCCTCCATTTTGTAAACTAGTTACCTTATTTTACAGGCAATTAATTTTATTTTCTATTAAGTACTTAATGCAATTAATTAAATAGGGTATATTTATTTTTGCATTCTTCCCTGTTGTTACAGTGTGGCTTCTGATAGATATATGTACACAAATGTACAAATGTGTCATATGCACATATTTATTTTGTGTGTGTGTGTGTGTGTGTGTGTGTGAGAGAGAGAGAGAGAGAGAGGGATTTCCATCTCTGGAAATTTCATTTTTAATCTGTATTTATTTATTGTCCTTTCTATTTGTCCTTTGTGGGTCATTTATATGCAGTGGCTACAACCAATCATACCCTGGTGGAAACAAAATACCTCAAATGGCATATATAATTTCAATGCTCATTAAATAGAGTTTGACTGCCCCTTTAAGAAATTCTACCTCCGGATAATTTTTAGCCAGAGAGACAGGGAAAATCCTGCAAGGCTGCTGAAAAGTCATTTTCGGAAACCCACCAAGCCTGACCTCTTGCCCAGAGGGTATCTCATGCCAAGGGCATCAGATGGCAAATCAACTGGACCTCCTTGGTTTGATGGGAAAATCAAAGCTGCTGCTGCTTCTTGGCACCCTCCCTGCTGGCAGGGCCTTTAATTGTATTTTGAGTGGGTTATATTCTATATGTAAATACCAGAGACTGCTGGAATTCTTCGTAGCCAAGCTGTCTGTTTATGCAAATTGCCTTCTAAAACCAGCGTTTCTGCTGCAGAATCGAAGTGCCTCTTATTTAATGCCACCCTCTTTCTCTCTGCCAGGTGGGAGGGAAGGAAAAGGGTGCCATTCATGGCTTCTCTCCCGGGGCCCTGAGAGATCCCCACACCCTCGCTTCTGCAGTGGGGGGATCCTGTCCGAGCATTCCCCGGGCAGACGCTGTCCTCCCAGGCATCTCTTGCAGTGTCCTCACTGAAGATCCCACGGCAGAGACAATCACACAAGGCACAGCTGCTGTCGCTGCTAATGAGCCATGATAGCCCAAAGGCCACGTGCCCTCCAATTAAACAGCATTTTATGGCTTGTCTTTGCAAGTGGTTTACCATTCATAATTTCTTCACCAGTTAAATCCTACTAATGTTAACCACTCCCCCATGGCCTCTGCAGACCCCTTGGTGGAAAGTGTAATGATGCAATGAACTCAGCCTGAAGACAGCAGGCTTTCCTAGCAAGAAATGGCCAATCTTTAAAAGAAAGGTCCTGCCCAAACCCTCCGGGTGCCATGGGCAAACGTGGTGGCGAACTTCATGCTGGGGTGTAAATTTGGCATCAGAGCAAGGGGTGTTGCAAGCAGGGGGAGTGGAGTGGGCATGGGAGGCCCCTCTGTAACATTTTCCAAAATTTTGAAACTACAATTATTCACAATTATCAGATTACCAGTGAGATCTAACAAAGGTTCTGTCTGAACATGTAGCCTACTACAGGAATAAATACAAAATTTCCAGCTGCTAGTTCTTTGTGTGGTGGACATTCCAATAATCTTTCTATGACTTTAAGATGTGATGACATTTAACCCATGTCTCCAGCTCCTTTAAATGTGCAGCTCTTACCTCTAATTAAGTCTGTTTTTGTGTTGCCCCTATTTATACATCTACCAATTGCATTGGAAAATCTGAAGGCACAGTCGGGATATTTTCTAGAAAATGATATTTGGTCTCCCACGTTTAAGATTTAAGATGCAATTATCATGTTCCTATGTGGGAATAGTATCCAAAATACATAGCAAGTAAGAAAGAAATTGCTGTCAGTTGGGCCTGATACAGTTTGAAAAAGAGATTCAGAGTTTGAAGAGAGCATAGATTGATTCAAGCCTGTCGTTGGAGATTTCATGGCAACCCAATTTTATTAAAACTGATTTGAGATTGAAAACAATTTGTCATTAAGTCATAGTGGGGAAACTTTAAAATGCCTAAAACCACTTCAGTTTGAGGCAGAATGGGTGGAAAACAGCAGGGATGGTGAAAGTATGTTAAACCTGCCAAATTCTACTTGGATACCATCAAGGATTTTACTCTGTGTATCTTTAAAATATTTCCCTTGTAGGACTCTGAAAGGGGCTTTTTTAAAAGGCAACTGGATTTTCTTTGCTTTTCCTCAAAGATGTTTCGCTTTTCGAGGTGAGGTTGGCAAAGGTGTTTAAAGATAAATCAGCTAAATGCTGGAAGTGCCACCAGATACCTGGATCTTACTATTATATATGGTGGACATGTGGAGAAGCAAAGAAGTATTGGACAAAAATTAAGACGTGGTTGGAAGAGATGATACAACAACGTATTGAGTTGAAACCAGAAATATTTCTCCTGGGGATTTTACCTGAAATTTATAATAAAGAGAATGCATATTTAATTATTCATTTATTAACTGCAGCTATAATTTTATTTGCACAACACTGGAAAAGTGAAGAGATTCCCATTGATGAGGAAGTGATTAGGAAAATATTAGAACGTGCAGAAATGAACAGATTAACATTAGCAATTAAGGAGAAAGAATAAACTGAATACTATATGACCGTAATGGCAAACCTACAGCACATGTGCTACAGTTGGCATGCAGCACCTTCTCTGTGGGCACGTGAGCCATCGCCCCAGTTCAGGTCTGCTGCGCATGTGCGCGTGCCTCCCGCTGGCCAGCTGGTCATTGGGTCTCTGCCGTGCATGCGCGGGGGGCAGGGCACATGCGGGGGCAGTGCATGTGTGGGGCGCATGCGGGGGTGCCGCCTGCATGTGCAGGGGGGCAGGTTGCATGCACGGGGGCTGCACACGCATTCCATTTTGGGGGTCCGGGCGCTCACATGCGCGCATTTGCACGGGCGCTTTGGGCGCTTGGTTGAGAAAAGGTTAGCCACCACTGCTATATGATATGGGAAGTATTTCATCAATGGTTAGAGAATAAAAATGAGCTTGGAAATGAAGAAGACTAAGAAATAATAGAAAATATATTAAGATAGAGATATAAATAAGATGAAAACTGTTAGTACACTTCAGATGAGAATAATGATGTTTAATATGGTATTAATATGGTATTAATATGATTAATATGGTATTACTAGAAGGCATTAAGAAGAAAATGAAGAGCTTTACAATGTTTAATTGTTTAATATATTATAATTTTAAGTTTAGAGAAAGAATAGTAATGTGAATGTGAAGGATGTTGCAAATGGTGAAGGATGTTGCACAGAGATACTTGTACCTAGATGACACACTGCTTAAGGAAAGATGGAATGTTTGTATTCTTGAAATTGAAAAATAAAAAACTTATATATTGGTTCTGGCAGGATGATTGGGTGTGTGTGTAGAAAGTTAGTACCCACTCTTCTCCTAGAAGAATGAAATATTCTAGGAAATATTAAAAAAGCAGACTATTATACCTCCCTGGATGAGAAAGGAGAAACATGCTCTTGGAAAGCAGCCTCCACCTTTGTTAATAGCCCCAGAAAGACTGGTGCCAACCTATCTAGAAGACAAGAGACTCGGCCAGTCTATCTACAAAACAAAAGACCTTCACCCTCAGGACATAATAGGATTAGCCTTCACTCAAGCTCCAAGGCAGGACCCAAGAGAGGGTTCAAATCTCTCTCTCTCTCTCTCTCTCTCTCTCTCTCTCTCTCTCTCTCTCTCTCTCTCTCTCTCTCTCTCTCTCTCTCTCTCTCTCCCTCCCTCCCTCCCTCCCTCCCTCCCTCTCTCTCATTTGCCCAGGACCCAAAAAATCCATGTGGTCCTGTCCACCATTAAACCATCTTTCCAAGCAGCCTTCATGTTTCCAGTGTCTTTCTCTCCACTTGGAACTGAACCCAGATGGACATTTCTTCCAACAATTTGGCACCCAAAGATGGGACTCCAAGCCAATGGACCTGGCCCAGGTAAGCCTCCCTTGCCGGCCGCAGACCCATTGAGTCTGTGGGTGAGTTTTCCTGGACCTTGGCCATTTGGAACAAAGGTTTTAAAGAGATTTTGAGTTTTGAGCTCAAAGGCTGCTTAGAGTACCTCTAACACTTAACTTTTAAAGCCCAGAAAAGTGTGGGAAATGTCTGTATGCCTGTGTGTGTGAGTGAGAGGGCCCTTCTCCCAATCACAACTGGATCTTGCATTTCCTAACCACAGATGACCAACAGCCT